GGAAACAGAGACAATATGAAAAGGAGCGGAAGGGGTTTGGCAGATAAAGACTGTCCCGTTTTATCATTTGCGGGTACACCAGTGTGGTTAGTACAGGGCGAGGACGCTCAGAGCCAGTGCTGAGTCAGTCACAAAACCTCCATCCTCCATCCCCATTTCCGACCCAGCGCTCCTCTTCAGCTGACTCACACCCTGGCCCCCGACTCCGCTCCGCTCCCGTCCCCCCTCAAGCCGCACGCTCTCTGCAGTGCTGCCTCGGCTAAAGCAGCACCCCACCAGAGGAGCCCGTGGAGCCCTCCCTACAGCAGAGACGCCAATGCCACCAAGTCCGGGTAGGACTGACAGCATATGATGCTACTACGCAATCCCTGGAAATGTGGTAATAAATAATTTTATAGTCATTCTCTTGCAATAAGTTTCCCAACAGGAGTTTTTGGAAGGGAACCTAATCTATTATAAAACAAGCTTTGAAAGGCCAAGTCCAGGAACAAGTCAAACGAGAGAGGCCAACAGGGACCGAGTTCAAGATCATTTCATTTGTTTTTCAGGAATCTGTATGATATATATAGACACACACCTACAAATGCACAGATGTATGTATTTATATACACAGCACTCAAAACTTCTTAGCTCAATTTTATTTACTTGCTTTATGCTAATCTTGTCCAGTTAGGCCTCAAAACCACTGCTCAGACTGTACAAGTCCTCTGCCCAGGAACCGTGCCCAAGGTGGGGTCTACAATAGAAACAATGCTCCGAAGACCAAAGTCGTGCACAGGAACTTGCCACTGCCCTCCCCCCAATGCGCAACACCATAATCCGAAACTGGGTATATCTAGAGGGAAACGCTAGAGTCTACCAAGGCAGCTGACAATTACACATTAGCACTTTAAACAAAGTTTCCCTAGTTCTCCTTAAGTGTAAGCATGTGTTTTGAAAAAACAGCATACATGTTTGAGGGGGAAGATACCACCACATTTGCATGCTTTAGAGAATCAGTATCTTCCTTCAGAGCAAGTCTAGGATGTTTTCATGTGCAGCAATCTCTGCTCTCCTCAAGCATCAATCTATAGTCATGGGAGAGCCAGAATTTCAGGTGCACATACATATATATATACATATCTCAAACATCAGTGGGAGCCTCATTTATATGTGCATGCACGTATCTGTGTCATTTACACAGGTAAACTGCCAAAAAAATCATGTAAAGAATCTACTCCATACAGAGAGGTTCAAATAAATGTTTAGAGAACATTCACACGTCTTAAAAAGGCTATTGAATACACTCTGCATCTAGCTGGATGAATTCTCGTTCATCATCGTATTATGTTTTGCATGTTCAAAAATTTAGAAAGACATTCAAGCTGCTAACATGGTGAACAACATATGTTAAACCTTTAATCTTCTTCAGTTGTCTAGCTACATTTCATTCTATGAAGAAACAAATAATCATTACAGATTCCAAGCATGCTACTCTGCATTGATGAGTAAAAGATGAAAATGAGAGCGAAACTTTGCCAGGATAATAAAGTTGTGCTCTTTTTCTAGACTTATTTGCAAAAATCACAGATTGATTTCTAGAGTTTTGGCTACTTAGGACAGACTTCTGTATCTCTCTAATACTAGTGAACTGTGCAAATGCCAGTTCCAGAAACAGCTATTCTGAACAGTACTCATTCCCATTTTACAAGTTTGTGATGGAAAAAAGTGTATGTTTGATACAGGTTTAACATACACACAGATGGACTCCTGCAGTTTCAAAAAAAATTTGTTTCTGCCCCAATTTTGTGCATGTCCTTCTGCAGTACTGTGTTTTTTTGTTTTGTTTTGTTTTGTTTTCTTCTACAAAGAATTAAAGAGAAAATAAAGTCCACAGCAAGGCAATAGCAGTGGGTTTGAACTTCTTGAAAATTGTTCAACTGGTTTTATGCATCCAGCTTAAAATCATATCATTGTAGAAACTCTGAAAGCCATATTTGGCAATGTTCTTCAAGAGCAGTTAAGACACAGGATTATTGTTATTTAGTTGGAGTGGAACGTTCTGTATGTATAAAACTTGTGTATATTGTAATGAGCAACTTAAGTGTGGCTGAAGAGTTTATAAGCACAAAAAGCAACAAGTATAGCATTCAGCTCTTAAATACTGTGCAAAAAACCAAACAGTTTTTGGGTGAAGCATCAGGTTCTCAGTTTCTTTAAAAAAAAAAAAAAAAAAAAAAAAAAAAAAAAGAGAGAGACCCCAAAAGACCATGAGTAGTTTAGATCCTGATTGTGTTTTATCTTCTTTATCTCCTCCAAAGATTGGGAAGATTGCAAGAAGCCAGACAGATTGCAAAGCCGTATCTGAGAAGAACTGTGACCTGCAGACTCAGCTACAGAGCTCATGGCCACAACCTCATATAAAGCCTTCAAGTCATATTTTTTTAAAATTATGCCTACTAGCAACTTTGGCTCTGTTTACAGAACTGCAACTGCAAAAATCCACTTAGCTCATTTTGTGATCCTGCTTTAACAAGTAAGATTTTTACTCCAGGCTGATCTACTTCAACCAGTCCCCACGCAACTCCACAGAGGTGAGCGCTGGGCACCACTGTCAGGATTTAGCCTGCTAACTCCCGTCTCCCTGCTTCACTACTGAAAATGGCAGCGGGCATAACATGCAAGAAGGACAGAAACTTAAAATCACCAGTTGCACCGAAGGAAAATTGTGGTATGTATATTGTAGCCTAATCTCTCTGCACTGGCGTTTTGTTTGGACTGCCAGCATTTCTGAGAATTCCTTATTTGTAAGTGGGGCTGTCACAGTACACCACTGCAATGATCAGGGAGTCCGCCGTGTTCTCACAACATGTCTCCTCTCATTCATGTTGCATAGATAGGCTTTCACAGCAGACTGTGATTCACATGCGAGGAATGTTTGCTAGATATCCCCATAGAGCCCGCAGACTGTGGTTACTGCTTTCATTTGCAGCAATCTGAAGATTCATGTTTCTCTCGTTAAATCAGTGATGACACAGTGAAGTGCAGGCCTGGGCATGGTCCAGGTTCATAATGAACATCTACAACTATTTCACAGAATATCTATACACGCACTGTTCATATTCATATATTCATTTGCAATTTGATCATATGTGCATCATAGATATGTCCATTAATTTCTGCAAATATTTACAGCACGCCACTAAAAATAAATCTTTACTCTTAAAGAGTGGTAATAACCATACTTTCAGTGCTGTGGAAGGTGTTGATTAGCCTCCTGCTTGGCAACCTTGTAAAGCTTTACACAGGCTGTACTTTATGTACCAACCGATTTCCATGAGTCTTCTCACCATACATAAAAATTAATCTTTGCTTAAGAACTTTGCAGAATTAGGCCTTGGCTTTGTAATGTCACACTTGAAAAAGCAGGACTTCATTTTTATATTTCACATAGGTCTTAAAACTGCTTTTTTGTGTTGCAAATACTTCCTCAAACTAACCACGGAAATTTGGACCCGGGGCTGTATGTGTAGGTGAGGTGTATGTGGAATATCTCCTATAATTTGTTAATCATCAGACACTTTCTCATTCCTTCCCTTTCCTGTCTGTTTTCGTCACAAAGATGCTCAATGACATATGTTCAAGGCCTTTTCAAAAGAACAAAAAGGGAGGAAGGAAGCAGAGGTCAAAAAGGGAAATGAAGGGAAAAAGGAAAGGAGATAAATAGAGGCTGTCAGGAAAGCAGTGCAAATAGCTGTAACGGCACCCTTCATTTCCTAAAGAAAATTGTAGTAAGGACATTTATTACCTTAGAAAAAGTTAATAACCATTAGGAGCTTATTAAAAATGAATAAATAAAACCAGAGGCCTCTATATGGACTGAAGGTAACAGGGTGTCCTTCTCCCTGGAACTTTTGAGAAGTTTCAATGCAATGATGCAAACAAGAAAGAGACCTTCAACACTGCGTGTCTACTGAGTCCATAAAATAACACTGCAGTGATAGTTTTAATTAAAATATCCTCCACAGTTTGGTGTCCAAGTTACTCCCCAGTGTGCCCTTCCTCTCTGTTCTACCTCTATACAGTCAAGTAGCTTCTTAAAACTTACCCTTCTTGGGGCAACTTTTAGCTATCACTTGGCAGTAAATAAGTGAATTGCTCTGAGAAAAAGCTATTAAAGATATTCTGTGATAGTTAGATGAAACAAGTGGCATAAACTAGAATATTCTGTACAGCTTTATCAACAAGATTTATACAAATGCTTAGTGGTTCTCTCTATCAAAATATGGTATTGCAAGCTCTGCGGAAGAGAAGATCATTTCCTGACCTTTCCACAACCAAGCAGACCATCTCCTTCAGTAACTACCACATAGCAATTACTCACATTGTGCTTGCAAAAAAGCAGTTACAGAAAAGTACTTAAATCCTTAAATAGTGCAGGATTTTCTTTTGCTGTTGTTTAGCAACTAGAGCCAATCCTAGGTGACAAAGACAGATCCCCAGACCTCCAAGCAGCACTTTCCAAAGAACAGTTTAGGAACTGCTGTTGAAACACATTTGGCCAGCCCTGGTCTCTTACAGGATACATCAAGCAGCAAACCGAGGAGCCTGCTGAATATACTCTAATTTACACCTTGCAAAACCCTGTTTAAATAGAGCAAGTAGTTCTTGTGAGCCTGGAATGAATAAAGCCTACTGCCTCATTAATTTATTTCTTATGCCTGATTGACACCGACGTCTAAAAAGGGCAGAAAACTTTTCTGCCACGATTAAGGCAGATTGTAAAGCAGAGTGCTTTTAGGACCACAATTACATGCTGTGTGTTTCCACAAAACTTGCAGAACAAATATACCTGAAAATTTGTCAAAATCAGTTGGTATCAGCCAGTTTCAAAAAGTATATTAAAGGGAGGGTTATATGAATGGACACATTGCACGTGATGGTATAAACCTTGCTTCTGCAGAAAAACAAGTTTAAAAGATTCTAAGCTATGAAATCCAGAACTGAACTTCTCCACTTACCTTAGTGTTCACACAAGATTTTCCACGTTTATACTCTTTGTGACTTGCTCTTTTGTCAAGCTTGTTCCACAAAGCTTTGGCCTTCCACGTGGTCACTCTTGACTTCAGTTTGGTGTAAAAGTTTCTATTGTCCAACGGATCTAATTCAAGTTGGCGAGTGAGAATATTAAAGGCCTGAATGGTACCTTTGCACGTTGATGCTTGTACGAAGTTTTCAAATATCTGGCCAGCTTGACTGTGTTTTTCATCATCGTTTTCCCCCATGTTCTGAGAGACGTGTTTGAAAAAGATTAAGCTGGAGCTCTTGTGCTGGGGTACAGGTGATCAACACTACCAAGTATTTCCAAGCATGTTATTCCTAGAAAAGACAAAACATAGGTCATGTTAAAGCAGGGTCTGCCTAACAAAATTAAACCCACAAACTGTATATCCAATATGAGCATAAAAACACAGCATATGGCAACGGGATAACCAGGTACAAGAAGTTAGTAGTGGCATCCAAGGTAAGTGTTACAAGTAAACATAACATACTTCTGCTGCCATGACATGTACTTCACAAAGACTGTCGTAAAAACTCTTTAAATTCAAGCCTGCAACAACAACAACAACAAAAAAACCAGCCTCACTGAGAACCTGAGGATTTCTTTAAATTTTGTTCCATGATAAGCGCTAGATAACAAATGAAGAAAAACCAAATGTCCAGATGCTTTTCCCAAGCAGAACTTATGTCACAGCAAGTACACCTCTGGTAATGTTTTGGTCTTAAGAATTCTTAGAAACCCACAGCCAAAAGTCAACACTATTTGAGGGAATTTTCTCCCATTGCACAAGCTAGGGCCAAGAGTACAGCTTAGCCAGAGCAATTCAGAATTGGCACAATCACTTGCCACGAGCAAATGCACAAAACAGCCTAAGCAGAAACATTATCACAAGTTACACTAGAACTGAAGAAACAGAAAACAAGTAACCACAGAGCGCTCCCCTTTTTCTAACTCTCTTGCCAAAATGAGAAAGGGTTCAGTGCTCTAGTACATCGAAAGGAATTTTATCTCCACGTCTCCACATGTTAAATGCTAAAGTTATGTGTTTGGACTCCTACCTTGTCATGTGCTGATGATATAAAGTAATGATGTTTGGCCCACTAAGCCCCATTGGCTTTTCCTAGTAACATGATCACTGTCAAAATGTGCCTGATATTGCAGATAAATACCCTTCCATTCTGTAAGAATGCTATTCTAAATTAACATAAGTTTGTAAGAACTAAAATACTTTCATTGCGGCACTCCCTTATCCTTCTTTAACCTTGCCCTCAATCTCTAATGGGAAGTGTCTTAGAGTCAGCCAAGGTCCACAGAAAATATCCAAGTGGCTTTCACATTTTCCCAGAAAATTGGTACAGGTTATGTATAAACTTGTCCTCAGAAGAGGGTCTACTTGGACTCAAGTCCAGAGATTTAAGTAATGTATTCTTTTTCTTGCTATTAAAGAATTATCTACCAGTCCAAGAAATCAAAAACTAAATCAATGCTTGCCTAACCTCCCACATAATTAGTTATTTTGCTTGGAACATCATCTGTTGACTGATAGTTTTAGAATAAATTGTTAGAAAGGCCTTTGAAGTTATGCTTTTTAATTTAACACTGTTCACAAACTATTCATTCTCTGCTTGCACTTCCTTCAAAGAAGAAAAGAGAAAACATAACCAGTGTATTTAAGTAAAGAAGAGACCTACCATGTCTATCTTACAATCCTCTAATACAGAAAAATATTATGCAACTTATTAAAGAGATCCCATGGGGAGATATAAGGAAGCATTTGGAATACTCACATTCCCCAGCTGTGCTCAAAATAAATAACCTTTGTGTGCAGATCATCAGTCTGTTGTTGGTTTGTGGGTAAAATAAATTGGCAATGTTGAGAGTTTGTACATTTTCTTAGACCAAATGTCATGATTAAATATTTGGTGCCAAGAATAAGTCAGGAAATTTTTGTTTTCCCCTCTGAATACTTCATTTATAGTATTCTCCATGCCCTTTTCTGAAGAGCTTTGTGGCTTTGTGAGGTAAAAGCACAAACATTTTATATGCCCTGACTTCCGGAAGGTCTAATTTTTCAAGAAACTGAGTGCCGTGAACTCCCATTGACTCAAAAGGAGTTGAGGACATCCAGCACCTTTCCAGGTTCAAGTCCTCAATGATTAATGAGCAAACCCCTCCAACAACTGCACGCCGGCAGGAGGGAGCCCGGCCACCTTGGCGGGTGCGAGGGGGGCCCAGCATGACTCTCACCAGCCCCGGCTTTGGGAACGCAGAGCTACACAGCGGTTTTTGGGTCAGTCCAAAACCAGCCAATACATCCAGAAGTTCCTAGGGGAAGGGGAAAGGCAGGGGACTGCCATGCGGAAAGGCTGATGTATGTCTGGGCTTAGCTTTACACAGGAGTGCTACTACAAGGGGAAGGCAACATAGGGCAACTAAAGATAGCAACAGCACAGTGTAAGATGCTACAATGTGGCTTAAACAGCTTGATATACAGGCACCCCAGGAGTCAAGACCCATTGAAAAAAAAGAATTAAAATAAAGGATAAACGCTTACTTCACCCAACTTCCATACCTGCCTGAGATTTTTTTTTATAATAGAAAAGCCAAAGTATTTTTCTTTTCTCTTAAAATAATTATGAACAGCTTCTTGGGGAGTAAGGAAGTGTCAGTGAAACATTCCACTTCGGACATTTCAGCTAAGGGAGTAGCAGCCAGATTGAGTTTTCTTAATTGCTATAAACTCACATCACTACTGCCTCAGTGCTACTAAAGACTTTGACCGACTTAATAGCCATAAAACAACACGTCCTCTCCATTGCTTTCATTAGCTCACCACAAGACTGTTACCAAGTTCATATAACACAAATATCTTTAAAAGTTAACTCTGGCATAATTGATAAGTGAGTCTGATCACAAGCTCTTTTCAGCTCACAGAGAGGAGATTTTTATAGCCTCAGCGGTTTCCATCCAGCAAGGAAGGGGGCGGGGGAGAAAAGCTAGAAGAGTAGAGCCCTCTCTGAACCAACCAAAGAAGAAAAGCAGAACATGCCAGGGCTGATAACGGTGAGGGGAAGATGGAAGAGATGGTCGGCAGGAGCCACTGCAGGCAAAGGGAAGGAAACCATTTTTAGCATGATGCAAACCAGCGGAAGTAGGTGTTGCACACAGACATACACACACACACAGAGCAGGCCTGGGCTTCCTCTGCCATTCCACCGGGGAAGAGAGCAGCTGGGAAGGACAGCCAGGACACCTTCCCCAGCCTTAAAACTTCTCTCCTCCAACACCACAAAGCCAGGACTGAGGCTATTCTTTTGAGGCACAAAATTTTCTGCTCATGAATTTCCAAAACACTCCCATCTTGTCCACACTGAAAAGCTGTGGAGTGGCATCTCAGCAGAGACATTTGCTCACCAGCGAAGCATTTCTCCTCACTGTGTCAGAGGTCATGTTCTCCAAAAAAGCCACATTTTGTGGTCTGAAAGGCAGGATGAGACAGGAGACTGGTTACTGGGGTTTCTGGCTTGCTGGTAACACCACTTTTTTCTCTTTTTTTTTTTGGCACGAACACTGTGTTGACAGATGACAGAGAAGATGATGGTGCTCTAAGTATATGCAGCTCATGGAAAAGTATGCATTTTTTTTTCTGAGGAGTCACCAATATTTCACTGTAGTATTGTACATAACTCACTAGAAACAATGCAATAAGGACAGGAAGTTGAACAGAGTAATTCTTAAATATAATTAAAGTTTCCTGTTCTATAACGGTCTCAAAGACTTAAGAGACAATGCATAAACTGCTTACCTATAGTGGAAAAAAAAAAAGTGTTTGGGCAAATGCTTGAGTTCTTAGAGTATTACAGCTTACTCTTTTTCTTCCTTCATCATATAGATCACTCCAGGGATGAAATACAGATACTAAAGTCTCATCAAGGTGAGCATTGATGCTGAAACTGCAAACTGTGCTTTTCAAAGTGACCATTGAACTTCCTCCAGAAACACAATCCAAAAATACAATGAAGTTTATCTGAAACTTAACTGAAGTGCTACAGAGCCCAATAAAAATTTGGGCCACAGAAAAAAAGAGAATTAGAGAGCAGGAAATAGCCTGGACAAACAGTTAAGTCAGAACTGAAGCATCCATGGGTTAGATTCACAACTAACAAGAACTGCCATTTTAGGTCCCACGCGTGATGTATTAAGCACACACAAGAATTTGGCCTTCCACGTGGCTTCCCGTGGTATTACAGAAGTCTCTGGAGGGCTCCCAGACACAAAGTGCCGACACTGGGAAGAAGACGGGCTGCACTTTGATGATCCCTTCTACTGCAATAAGTTAGCCCAACCTCCTTTCTGCCTCCAATCGGGGGCAAACAGGAACATCAGATGAGAAAATCTGAGAAGTACTATTCATGCCTGGTGGCTACCCAAGGAGAAAGTGAACATCTTATTACAACTTAAAGGAAAGCAATAGAAAAGGGACAAAGTAGAAATTAAAGCAATGGTGCATGTACAGATGTGTACATATGAAAACAAATGCCTCCAGTCTTGCCTGATATTTCTTCTCAGTGAAACAAGCTCTGTTACTGCAGATGATTTTGAGAATAGTGAAAAAATGCCTCCACTGTCAGGGTAATTCCACTAATTATCACTAGTTAAATGGATGTATGGAGCTGGTTCATGTCTGCACGTGAAGCCTTTCAGCATAGTAGAGCAAGCAATAAAGTTGACATATAGAAGTCATTAAATGAAAGTAACTTACATTTTTGACAGCAATACCATGTGAATTGCTTGTCAGCAGTGCTTTGAGGTAGTATACTCAAAAAATAAAAACGTTTTTTGGCTTAGTTGTCCCACTGGAGAGAGAACAACCCTAACTTTAATTCAAACTTGCAGCACTTAAGTCCGTCCTTAGTCCCTTAATGCTTTGTTTCTAATATTTGAGAACACGTTCCTCAGGGAGATTGGAAAAGAATTCAATTCCTCGCATTTCAATACCACTAATCCTGATTCCATTTTCAATACAGCCCTAATTCTGCCATGTTTACCGAGAATAAATTATTTTATTAAGACTTCTGTTTGGCATGCAGGATACAATACATTTATTGTTTGCTTAAGGCTAGAAACATCAACAGAAATGAAAGACTGCATTCTGCAGGATCTGTAGTAATCATTTACTTTGGCCCTTCCTCATCATCAGTAAAAACTACAGTATTTCTGCTG